ACATTGTTTAGTCTCGTGTAGTTCATATCCTTATATAATGTCTGGGCTAAACCAAAGTCACAAATTTTGACGACATTGTTATCTGCCAGCAAAATGTTTCTGGCAGCCAGATCACAGTGCAAAACCTATATTCAAAAATACACTATTATAGGCAAAGTACTTGTAAGTGAGTAGTTTTGTATGCATATTCTTACATTTCTCCTTGATAGATATTCCATGCCATGAGTCACCTGATAACTCCAAGAAAGAAGGTCATGGGAGCAGATGCATTTAGGCTTCCAGTTTTCGTAATTAGCTTCGTAGTTAGAACGCCAGCCTGGCTGTAAATCATTATTGTAATGGACACTACAAAACTCAATTGAATTGCTTGAGTTCTGAGCCGTAGTGCACGAAAAGTTTGTATTATTGTTGTTAAATACCGTATTTGAATGATTGGACGATGCTGAACCCATATATTCTGCTCTGTAAGTAAATAAAAAAGCAAATTTACACGTTAATCAATTAGTTGTTGTCATAATAAAGTCGTTTAGTACCAAAAATTTTTACTTTAATTTATCGTTTGATTTTTTAGTGTTGTCTCAGTTAAGCTAAGCACTTGCTAAAAGCAGGATATTTTTTTTTATTTTATTCAAACCCAAAGTAAAAAGATGACTAATACATAAAAAAAAAAAAAATTCACAATTTTAATAGTTATAAATTGCGTTTACGAAAAGTTTAAATTGAAATGGCAACTATTAATGATAGCTCGAAGTAAAATGGTTTTTACTCTTTGGAAGTGGAGACGTGTTAGACTCTTGATAATGTCAGTAAAGTGAAGAAACAATTTTTTTTGTACTTTCTTGCACGAAAAAAATTTCCATGTACTTACTAATAACATTGACTACTTACTCTTTACATATGAAAAAAGATAACAAATGTTACAGCAATAACAAGAAATAAGAATTCTACATGTAACTCATAGTTCAAAATCAAATTAAATGTAAATAGAAAAGTACACTATAATTTTATCCACTATTATTTTAAGTAAAAAACTATAAATAATTTTTGATTATCATACTACTCCCCGAAAAAGAATAAACAAAGAATATTTTGAATCACAGATATTTTACACTGTGGGAATGACCGCGGGTGAAAAAAATATGATCTGAGGCTTTCTTATTTCCCTCCGTAAACTGAATACGATTTTTATCAATCCTGCGCCAGAAAACGAAACTTTTATCTAGCGAGTAAAATAAAAATCTTTTGTCTTTTACTACAGTATAAGGTTAATAACAAATGTGAAATAACACAAAATATCACAAAAAAATGTTAAAACTTTTTGTAAAGTACAAATAACTATTATAACATGTCAACCATACGTAAAAACAATAAAACTAACAACCCTTTTCTTCAATTCTGTTCGGAAATTTCAATAGTTAGATGTCTACTTAGATCTAATAATAAAAAGAAGTTGCAGTAAAAAAGAAGAACACTATATACCACTTGGAAAGAAATTAAACTACGGTAAATAAAAACATATTTGCTAATCGTCAAAACAAATTACAGCTACATAGCCATTCACATAAGTGATTTTTTATATCAGACAAATTCTAAATCTTATTTTAATATTGCCAAGTACATTAGCTCGTTTCCTGTGAGTAGTGTGGCACTAAATAAAAATTTTCCCATTCTTAAGCTTCTACGTTCTCGTACAGTATTTTCAAGTATGCAAAAAATCCATTAGATTATGTACAAACAATACTAAAATTTTGTAAAATTTTGAATGTTCAATTTTTGTACACCCTCTGGTAAATTTTAAGTACCTATTTAAATCTACTCTTAATGTATAAACAGCACTTCCTTGACGAAACAATTACCGGTTTGACTATTTGTACGTATAATTTTCAAGATCATCCATCATAATTTAAAAATCATCAACAAAAAACTTACACACGTCTCATGAGACGAAATTGTGCACATTAGCCTACGGTCTGAAGCATAAGTTAGATTTTCAAACAAACAAATACATAAAATTAGCACCTTTTAAATTTTTTTTTAATACACCAATTAAAATCACCAGTAGATGGATCAATTTGATTTATGAAATTTTGTCGATGATATATCAAATAATCTTGTAGGTTTCCATAAGCACAGGCTTCAAGAATCACTAAAAATTCACCTATGAAATAAATTGGTTTTTAGTTGAAAGGTAGCAATTATTACTTTAAAAATGAAAAAAAAATTCTAACGTTTAACAATATTTTTTGTACAGGCACCCAGAAGATTTACAACGTTCAAGTGTTGCCCCAGATGCATCATAATTTTAAATTCTTTCACAAGAGCGCGAACATAAACTGACTCAGCATTTTCGTGAACCATTTTCACAGCTACGGTTGTGACAGCCTCCGTAGCACAAATCCCAGAAGCTTCTGCTTTTACTACAACCCCAAAAGCTCCACTTCCCAACTGTTGACCTTTAATTTCAAATATCACAATATGTCCATTAATACTAATTATCATAGCCACTACTTTACAGTTAGCTCAGATTTCATACCTAACTGTAGTTTTTCTCTAGGAAATTCCCACTTTTCATCATATGGAAGATACTCAGCTTGATCATTAACTGTAAGATCAGGATTTATTAAATCAACGGCTCCGTTATTAAAATTAGTCAAGCCAGCTTTTAACAACTGCTTTTTTGTTATCTGTGTACAATAAAAAAATTCATGAAATTTTTATTATTTTCATTGATTTTTTGAATTTTAGTTATAAATCTTCATCTCACCTTTTTATGTAGTACTTTAAAAGAAAAGTGAATAAGAAGTAAAATAAGAATTACGATGAACCAAACTATCAATGTAAGTTGAAGAAAACGATTTTCAACCTCTAAAATCATGATTAATTGTATAGATAATATTATCATTACTAAAAGCTTTTATAATTTATTCAGAAAAACACTTTATCTTGCCACAACATCATGCTACTACACTCAAGTTTCAAGTTTTCAAACCATGCATTATTAATAATGTAATCAAATTACAACCAAGAACTTCATTATAATTATCAACACATATCATTGTAAAATTCTTCGTGAAAAAGCTAATAAACATATGGATTACAACTCTAATTTAAGTTACAGTGCAACATATACAATGATTTTTTAACGACTTTGAACTATTGAACAAAATTCTTAAGACACTGATTTTTTATTATCATTTTTTACTTACGTTTAACCACATATAATTAAAAATCTGTTTGTAGTCTATGGTAATTGGTAAAATTATTTTATTAAAATTTATTGAATGAAAATAACATTCTCGAGTTTTAGTTAGAATTAGTAAGAAACGATTTTTACAATTTGCTAACGAGTCTCGTAGGGATTTTTCTTTTATTTATTGTTGCTACAAATATTAGTGTAACGAAGTTAATCCGTTACCCAAAACCAGTAGAAACGTTGTAACAACAATCAACAAAATTTTTTACTCCATTTTTTATCTCGTTAACAAAAAGTTGTTCGTTATAAATAGCTGTATGGTTGAAATATCCCAGCAGTAACAAAACACTATTGTATCTGTACTAATCTGCATCCTACCCAGGGCAATAAATGGGCCAACGAAGGTTTATGATTTTTGATTATTTTGAACTGAGCTGTTACTGATCAAAGCCAGCTCATTTTTTTTATTTAAAATTGATAAACCAAAGTATTATAAATATACCACAATATTAATCGAAAAAAATTTTACCATGCCTTTAGAATATCCATATACCTAGTGATAAAATTGTTCTCAATTTATAGCATTTTGTTAAATGTATCCCTCTTTTTTTCGGTTTTAAGATGTTGAGTTTTTTGGGTTACTGAAATGTCCACAAAGTTCATTTGCTAAATTTAAATGCTTTTTTGCCCCACTAAATAGAATAAAAGCTATTGGAGGTGCTCAACTGCCTCAATAATTATAAGATTAGCAAAGAGCAATCAACGTATTTCTCATTCATCAAATTAAGAATTTTTTTCTAATACAGAGATAATCCAAAAAAGTCTTTGGGGTATTAAAAACAGATATAAAAAAAAATTGTTTTCAAGGTTAAAAACTATTAAAAAATTATTTATAAGCTACAATAACATCAATAGGTTTAAATAGTTAAAGAATAATGATCAGAGAATATTGCGAGAGATAAATAAAAAAGATATATTAGCTACAGTTATAAGGGATTTTGATATAAATCCAAAATTGATTTATTCAATATTATTAAATTGTCAAAACATCCAATTAAACCTCACAATTTCAATTATCTAATAAACAAGCCTTGCACTTACATGCATGTTACCGTAAATTTCAATATTCTTAAAACTTTAATCTCCTTGCATAAAGGTCCAAGCAGATTTTATGCTTATTAGCCCTAAACTAGATTATCTGAACTAATGTGTGAAGCGACATAGATAAATATTAACAATTAATTTTGATCCGACACATTCATGACACAATCATTTAGCATAAGGGAATTCTCTAGCCTTATTTACAAAATTATCAAACACATGTACTCTTTTTTTTACCTGTAACATTAACCATTTGAAATTTTTCTGTTTTTCCAAATCGATTTTCAGCACGACAAGAATAATTGCCACTATCATCTTTCACCAGATATCTTAATATTAATTTTTGACTATTAGATAACAGGCTCAATCGATCTTCCGGGAGATCCAAAGGTTCATCATCCTTGTACCATGTTATATTCGGTGTTGGCGTTCCTCCAACGTAACACAACAAATGAATAACGTTTCGAGCATCTGTTGATAATTCAGTTATGTTGGTAGAATTCATATTGTCTTTAATGAAATAAGGTTTTCTCGGCACTAAAAATATAAACATAATTTTAATGTAAATAAAACTTGTAATACAATACAGACGAAAAGAAACAACGTTTGATTACGTTTAGAAACAAGGGAGTATCTTATTTTTTTGATAGTCCCATAATCGGACTTTACTTTACAGTAGTAGTCTTTCTCATCTAATTGACTTATGTTATAGATTAATAGTTCCTCACGAACAGTAAAATTAGTGACTTTTGATGTTAGATGAATTTTTGCTGGAATATAATTTAAAAAGCATTAGTTTTAAGTTTTAACAAAATATTCTATAAAATTTCTTCATTTTCGTACGTAAGGTAATTTTAGAATTTACCTGTATTAATTATTTTTTCGAAGCAGTCGTCCAACCAAATTAAAAATAAATATTTACTTTTAACAGCAGCACAGGTTATAGTAACGTTGTCACCATAATACGTCTCTTCTGGCCCTATTAGTCCATAAGGTGCATCATCGACTAAGTCTGGGGAAGAAGATTAAAGTTTCAAAACATAGCGAACTGAAAATATTTATTGAAAACAAAATATAGTAAAAATCATAAGCTCAAATCAGCACACCAGTAATTTGAATTCCATGTCTTTTCGAGTCACAAGCATATAAATGGCAGGCCTTGCAAATGATTTCGCCAAATGCTACCAAATTTACTTTTAATTTTGAATAAAAGCTATTTCTACTCTGCTCAGCCTTAAATAGTTAGATAATTTTTAGATCACCATTGCATTTTGTGTTTGTAAATATAAATGTAACTGAAAAAGTTATAATTGTTTCTAAAAGCAAAAAATACCTTCAACTCCACTATTTTGCAATCATGCGTAGAATAATAATCTGGACACATTTTGTAGAACCAAGTTATATTTGGCTTAGGATTGCCAGTAGCTTGGCAAGCGAATGTTGCGCTTTGGTTTAGAGTGTAAAAAGACTTGAGTTCTTCTTCGATTAATATAACATGTGGCTCCTCTGCAAATGTACAATAATTTGCGTTTTGTATAAAGAAAAGGGCTTAGGGTTTCCGCATAAAATGATTTGACATTATGTTCTATATCAAAATTACCATAAACTGTAAGAGAAAAATTCAAAAGCTTTACTACATTGCTGTTATTTGCTCGAAGAGTATAAATTCCCTGGTCTTCTAACTGAACTAATGGGTTTATTAAGTTGCTTTCTGGATACTTTGGATATTGTTTTTTGTAATTAGGCATTCTGAACTTTCTACCCAAAACAATCTCAGTACCGTTGGGTGTGAACCTGAAAAATTTTATACTTTATACTACGGATCATCGTGAATTATAGGTTTTTGGCATGAATGTATAGTTTTATGCAAATGCAATCATTACCACGTAAGAGTTGGCGGTGGATAAGCATCAATGAAAGCTGTAAATATCACTAAATCATCAACTCTATGAGTCTTGTTTCCATTCCTAGCTTTTAAGTTTATGAAAGAGATATTCGGATCTGTCAAAATACACAAGTCTTAACATGCAAGTTTTTGTCTGTACATTAACGTTGTTTTATAATTTTAAAAACTGACCGTATATTTTTATAAATATGTTTGTACTACGATACTCATTAAAGGAAGATCTCACTTGACAAGTGTAATTACCCTCGTCGTTATCAGTAATATTATTTATGACAAGTTTAGATGTTATTAAATCAAAGTATATGTTTTCTGTCTCTTGAATCTGTTTCAAAGTTGATCTGGAAATCTATTCATGTACTCATTAAATACTGTTTGAAAATATTCTAGTATTGCATAATATTTGTTACATCAGTCACTGTATATTAGTCATTTTACCAAAAACGAAATTTTTCACCACCAAATCAATTGAAGCGCCAACAATAAAAAATTAGTTGTTCAAAACACTTCACGAATAATAAAGCAAAGTTCCCTACTAAAAAAAAATTTATCCTAAAAAGCATTCATTATTATTTAAAATGAAAAAGAGTTAAAATTAGCTGTATAGTCTTGTGTCCCCCTCTAAAATGTTTACTTTTGACGACACCTAAAAGTAAAATACAGCTTAAATAATTATTTCTACGTCATTTACAAAGTTTGTTAAATTTCATGTAAAAAAAATACCATGGTAAATGCACACAATTGTATCTCGCATTAAAAATCAAACATATTTAATTATGTGGAGACGAAATGTATTGCATCTAGATTTTTTTCAATCTTTTTTTTGCCTACAGATCAATTCTACGCACTTCCTAACTCGTTTAATTAGTCTCTCCAAAATACAAACTAAAATTCCATAACGAACTATCAACTTTGATGGTGATTGATAAAACTGTATCTCTTACGTACTTAATATAAGTATAAAAGTAAAAGCAATATTAATATTTTACACCGGAGTTTTTGTTGCACCTAACCCCACTCGTAATATTGATATTAAAAAACTTTTATTTAGCAGGGCTCAAACATTGATGTTTTATTTTGATAAGCAGCATAACAAAAAAAATATTCGAAAAATACTGCTTTTTAGTCTTTCTCCATTTTCACTTATAAGATACGCTCGTTTTCGTTAAATGACCCATACACAACAATAGGAATTGTGCATAAGAAAATTAAAATTCTCTTACTATATTTTGAGGAGTCTTCCAGGTAACAATGTTAGAACTTTCTACGTAGATTTTAACTGTACATGTAAGGGTCAATGTAGAGCCTACGAAAACTTTCTTCTGTCCTTCTATTCTCACAACTGGTTCACTTATGCAATCGTGAAGATAGTTATTAGGAAATATCATCGTCTTGTCCGTAAAATCACCATCATTGGCTTCACAGAAAAATTCTTTTTTAGGGCTATAGAAACTTAAATTTTTGAGGACAAAACCAACTTTGGGATCGAAAAATGCATCTCTGTTGATGATTCTCTGTAAGTTCTAACGTAATATGTATAACATTAATTTCAAACTACTTAAAATGTATAAAATTGTACAGTAAATTCATGTTACATTATCCCTTGTTGTTAACGTCACGTTGATTCTAGGTGAGGTTGTACGGCACGGAAATACAGCATAGTGAGATCTACATCCTTGAGATGCAAATACACTCCAATAGGATTGGATAAATGCACTTTTATTGGCTGCGTAATATGTATAAAAAATTTTTCTTGTAGATGCAGTATTACTGGCACAAATCAATAAAAAAAGTTAAGTGAAGAATTCTCACAATTAATATAAACGTACATCCAACTGATACTTAGATCATTTAAATCTTTACTTGATTTAAGTGAAATTTGCTTGTTTATATCAGCACAGCCATACCAGCCAGCATCTCCAATGACTGTCGATTTTTTCAAAAATGTTTTATTGCTGCTCATTTCTTTTGGAAATATTTCATAATCAGAAGTTATTATCTATTCATTTGAAAAAAAAAATCAATTTTATTTAAGAGAAAATAAAAAAAATAAATTTATACGAGCATTCAATACTAAATCTGTTTAACTCACACCCCGAACGAAATATGAGTTTGGATAATAAAACTGTACATGGCCATTGCTTGTGCAACTAATTTCCAAAACTCCTCCTTCATGTATCTCCAACTCGGTCACATTTGGATGAAGCTGGGGCTTATGTCCATTACAACCTTTGCAAATGAATACAATTTCTTTTGAAATTCGATATAATCAGTTTCTATTAAGATATCATAGAATATTGATGATGTCAGGAAAATATAATTACAAATACAGTAAATTGTGAAGAAATGTTAGTTATTTTGAGTGAAAATAGCAATGCACTTTCAGGCATAGTTTTTGTAGCTTCTATTTAAAGTTACAATTATTTATTCTCTGCATTCTTCACAACATTGTAAACTGTTTGAAAATGATACACAGCTTTTCAAGCTCAAAAGGAATGTAATTAAAAAAAGTGATGTTGATATTTTCAGCCTTACAATGATAAAAAAAATTAACTCTAAGAATTTAAATCTTTTGTTATTTACTAGGGAAATCACCTTGTGCCTAGTAAAACGTGTTAACTGCAAAATTTTTGAATTTTCTGAATAAGAATATTAGTTTAAGATGTAACAAAAAGATTTCAAAGGGTACATAATGAATGAATCGAAATTAAGCAATAACGGACGTCCTAATAAGTATAAAAATCTTCAAGATTTTTGATCACAACAGTATTACATTTAGCTAAGGAATCATTTTTCGAACTTCCTCAAGTGATATTCTCAACAAGTATGATAGCTAACAATTACAATGTACAGCTAAATATACATACAAGTAATTGTACTTACATGATAACAAAAAAACGCTAAGGAACAGTAGTGTCCAGTACTGTATTAAGACCAAGCCCTGCCATCCTGGAGATCTTCGTATTAGTCCCTGCGAGCGTCCCTTCATTTGCTTACAACAGTGACTCATAATTTTCATGATTGAAAAGTAGCCAAACCATATAGACACAAAAAGGTGAGAATACTTGATCAACCACTAGCTACGAATGTTCACGCGTTAAGAATTCAATGTAGACATCAAACGTCCAGTCTGTAGTGAGCTGAAGTAATAATACAAGTAAACTGTCATCACTTAATTTTAGAGTTCTCTATTCTTGTCCCGCTTTAACAGGAGCTATATGTTAAACGCTTAGCAACACGTTTTAATTACTTACAGTTTGATAAGCTACGCATTTAATGGATGTACTTAAAACTTTGGTCATCAAATCAAACTTTGAATTCCTCTGCAAGTATCAAAGTGTAATGAATATTGACTAACCCTCGGCAAGACTGAATTGTTTTTTTAAAGCTGTTTTTAAATTCTGCTTAAACATGTCGGCAAAATAAGATTTTTAAAAAAGCATATGAGTCTCTTTTATTAAAAAATTTTATTTACACTACTGTAACTTCAATTAATTAAAAAATACAAACTATTATATTCAACACGAACATATTTCTCAAGTACTGCAGCGTAAATTTACATAAAATATTATGGAAAGTTTCAAAGCGCGTTTACTATTTATTTGAGAGACAAATGGTAACAATCAAAGGCAAAGTTTTTGAGTGAAACCATTAAGGTCATTTTTAATTTTAGTTGTCACATAAGCAGTTTTTAAAGCAGCTAAACATAATCTTTCTTCCTGGTAATATTACTACCTGATGTTTGTTGTAGCCATAGCTCGAATAAAATGATTTGTTGTGAAGTAAATATTTTTATCACATCAAAAGTTTGCAGGACTAAGATAATTGTGAAAATATACCAAATTATTTTTGACATTCCCCAAAGATTACTTTAATATAAATATCCTTTATATCCTTTATTAGTCTATTCACGAAGCCAAACTCAAAGAAAGCATTATAGTACTTCTTTTAGAAATTCTAAAGCACTAATTATGAAATTTAGTTTGGTTCACAGAGTCACCACGCACATTCATACACTATAATCGATAATTTAAAAAATCACCGAAATTTGGAGCATTTCAAAAGTAATTCCAAACGTTGAAAAAATTATTGTCATTGTTAGCTCTTTACTTACTTCTTCCAAATTAATACGATCACCTAATTACATAGTTCAAGGAGTATACTCCTTCGAGTATTATAAGGTCTAAACCTCAGGTAGAGAAATCATTATTTATATGAAAATAATTTAGAAGCACAGATGACTGATATTTAAGAGTATGACAAAATACGAAGATAACAGATGAATTCCCATTTGAATTTTTTTAACCAAAATGATGATTATGTAGTAAATTCAGCTGACTTTTTCCGAATGTTACTTGATTTTGCATTCTCTTCTTTTTATGTAATCTTCAACAAATAAATTACATCAAAGATATGTTTAAAAATCAAATGACAATTCTATTTTGTAAATAATTTAAATTTTATTAGTAATTTTCGATTCTTAGAACAAAAGGTGAATCGGTCTTCCAGCAGATTCAAAGGGGCATTATCATTGTACCATACAATATTCGGTATATAATACTGTAATTTGGAAATGGCATAAGTATTCGTATAATTGATTACTGACTATTTTAATGATTTCTATGGAATAAATAAATTACATCAAAGATATGTTTAAAAATCAAATGACAATTCAATTTTGTAAATAATTTAAATTTCATTAGTAATTTTCGATTCTTAGATTAAAGGGTGAATCGGTCTTTCAGCAGATTCAAAGGGGCATTATCATTGTACCATACAATAATCGGTATATAATACTGTAATTTGGAAATGGCATAAGTATTCGTATAATTAATTACCGACTATTTTAATGATGTCTATGGAATAAATAATGAAATTTTCTGCTTGTTGCGAAATAAATTTATTTAAAGCGACATTTTGGCAAGTTCAAATTTTATTGAACAAAATCAACTTGTTAACTAACATGTGTAACATAATAATGTTAACAGACACAAAACTAATAAATTCAGACTAAGGTAAAATAAATTTTAGACAAACAATTTACCTTGGAGTTATTACATGAATGATACCATCATTGAGCATATAAGTGATGTTTTGTGTGACGTAAAAAATTTATAAATAATCACATGTACTAAGATGTTGACTTATTACATAAACTATTTGAAATTTTTCCATTTTACCAAACCTATTTTCAGCTTGACAAAAATAGTTGCCAGTATCATCTTTCATCAGATATCTAATAATTAATTTTTGATTATTAGAATAAAGGTCAAATCTATCTTCCGGCAGATCCAAAGGTTCATCATCCTTGTACCATGTTATATTCGGTGTTGGCGTTCCTCCAACGTAACACAACAAATGAATAACGTTTCGAGCATCTGTTGATAATTCAGTTATGTTGGTAGAATTCATATTGTCTTTAATGAAATAAGG